AAAAAGAATGAAATCTTGCCATTTGCAACTACGTGGATGGAACTGGAGGGTATTATGCTAAGCAAAATTAGAGAAAGACAAATATATGACCTCACTCATATGAGGACTTTAAGAGACAAAACAGATGAACACAAGGGAAGGGAAGCAAAAATAATATAAAAACAGGGGGGACAAAATATGAGAGACTCTTAAATATGGAGAAGAAACGAGGGTTACTGGAGGGGTTGTGGGAGAGGGGATGGGCTAAATGGGTAAGAGGCATAAGGAATCTACTCCTGAAATCATTGTTGCACTATATGCTAATAAAAAAATAAATTAAAAAAAACCGGGCAGACATTTTCCTAAATAGACATTTTCCTAAAGACATACAGACACATGAAAAAATGCTCAACATCACTAATCATCAGAAAAATGAAAAGCCCACAATGACAAAGCACCTTACACCTGTAAGAATAGCTAGAATCAAAAAGGCAAAAAATGACAAATGCTGGTGAGGAGGTGGAAAGAATGGAATCCTTGTGCCTTGCTGGTAGAAGGTAAATTGATGCGGCCACTGTGAAAAACAGTATGGAGGTTCCTCAAAAAGACTTAAAAAAGGGGCGCCTGGGTGACTCAATTAAGCATATGATTCTGGATTTAGGCCCAGGTCATGGTATCACAGTTTCATGGGTTCGAGATCTGCATCAGGCTTTGCACTGACAGCGCAAAGCTGGGCTGCTTGGGATTCTCTCTGCCCCTACCCTGCTCACATTCTGTCTCTCTAAAAATGGATAAACTTAAAAGCAATTTCTTTAAAAAAGAATTATAGTATGATCCAGTTACCACTGGGTATTTACCCAAAGAAACCAAAAACTAATTTGAAGAGATAACATGCACCCCTATGTTTATTGCAACATAATTTATAATAGCCAAGATGGAGGCAGTCCCAACTGTCCATCAATAGATGAGTGGATAAAGAAGATATGGGATGGATATTTTATATATATCCCTATATACACACATATATTTGTGTGTGTGTGTGTGTGTCTGTGTGTGTGTGTATACATTTAGCCACAAAAAAAAAAGGATGAGATCTAGTCATTTGCAACAACATGGATGGACCTAGAGGGTACTCTGCTAAGTGAAATAAGTCAGATGGAGATAGATGATACCATATGACTTCACTTATATGTGGAGTCTAAAACACAAAACATAAATTAAGAACAAATCCATAAATACAGGGGAACAAACTGCTGCCAGAGTGAGTGAGGAAATGAGGGATGGGCAAATGGGTGAAGGGTTGTGGGAGATACAGGCTTCTAATTATGAAATAAGTTACGGGATGAAAGGCACAGCAGAGAGAATATGGTCAATGGCATTGTAACACTGTTGTATGGGGACAGATGGTAGCTACACTTGTGGTGAGCAAAACGTAATGTATATACTTCTAAAATCACTACTGTACACCTGAGACTGCGTTTTAACTATATTTCAGTTTTTAAAAAACTATATGGTATTAACATATAAATTAGACACAGAGATTAGTGGGGCAGAATAGAGAACCTAGAAAAACTCACGCTTATATGGTCAATTAATTTATGACAAAGGAGGCAAGAATACACAATGGAGAAAAGACATTCTCTTTGATAAATGGTGCTGGGAACATTGGACAGCTACATGCAGAAGAATGAAACTGATCACTTTCTTACACCATACACAAGAATAAACTCAAAATGGATTAAAAACCTAAAGCCATAAACTACAAGAAAACACAGGCAGTAATCTTTGGCATCAGCCTTAACAACATTTTTCTGGATATTTCTCCTGAGGCAAGAGAAACAAAAGCAAAATTAAACTACTGGGATCACATTAAAAGAAAATGCTTTTGCACAGCAAAGGAAATCATCAACCAAATGGCAAAGCGGCCTACTGAATGGGAGAAGATATTCGCAAGTGACATATCCCAAAAGGGGTTAACACCAAAAAGCTACAAAGAACCCATACAACTCAACACCCAAAAAATAATTAACTCTATTAAAAATGGGCAGAGGACCTAAATAGACATTTGTCCAAAGAAGATGTACAGATGGCCAATGGACAGATAAGAAGATGCTCAACATCACTAATTATCAGGCAAATACAAATGAAAACCACAATGACGTATCACTTTATACCTGTCAATATGGTGATCATCCCCCAAAACAAGAAACAACAAGCACTGGCAAAGATGTGAAGAAAGCGGAACCCTTGGGGTTCTTGGCTGGCTCAGTGGAGTTGAGAGACTCTTGATCTCAGGGCTGTGAGTTTGAGCTCCACAATGGGTGTGGAGAATGCTTAAAAATCTTTAAAACAAAGAAAATGCAACTCTTGTGCATTGCTGGTGGAAATGCAAACTGGTGCAGCCACTGTGAAAAACAGTATGGAGGTCTTTAAAAAATTAACAATAGAATTACCATATGACACAGTACTTCTCCCACTGGGTACTTACCCAAAGAAAACAAAAACACTAATTGAACTATGTTTATTGTGGCATTATTTGCGGTAACCAAGACATGGGAGCAGCCCAAGTGCCCATCCGTAGATGAATGGATAAAGATGATGTGGCACATGTAAAAACACCCCCCCCCCCCCAGAGACACATGTACTCGCGTACACACACACAGTGGAGCATTACTGAGCCATGAAAAAGAATGAGGTCTTGTTATTTGTGACAACATGGATGGACTCAGTATTACGATAAGTGAAATAAGTCAGATAAAGACAAATACCAGATGATTTCAACTTGCATGTAGAATAAACAGTCTTAGAGAAGCGCTGGTTGCAGGAGGGGAGGTGGGTGGGGAGGATGGGTGAAAGAGATAAAGGGATTAAGAGGTACAAACTTCCAGTTATAAGTGAGTGGCAGAGATGAAAAATACAGCATAGGGAATACAGTCAGTGACAGCATATTAATGTTATACAGTGACATCTGGTGACTGTACTTATTGTGGTGAGCACTGCACAGTGAATAGAACTACTGAGTCACTATGTTAAAAAGACAGTAAGATGCCACTTCACACCTGTCATAGGTGCTAAAATGTAAGAGTGTAGGTTAGGTACTTTTAAAAGAAAGAAAAAATGGAAGTGGTGCAGCACTAATTGTTTATTCCAGTAACAAGGCAGTGGGCCTGGAGGGAGCACTTGGGTCCCAACTGCTCAATTCAAGTTGTCCAGGAGGCAGCAGCAGCACAGAGCAGTCCAACACGCGGCCAGGGCTGCCTGACACCCGGTGTCCACGTCCATCTTCCTTTCCCGTTCCACCACGTACACTGGGGGCAAGGCAGGGGCAGGGGAGAGAAAGACCTAGTCAGAGGGGACTGCGAGTAGCAGCGTCCTATGCAGGTAGTATTTAGCACAAGCCACGGAGACTCCCACCCTCTCCAGAGGGTCAGAGCCATGCCTGTCTGCTTCCCTGCTCCATCTCTGCTCCAGTGTCTGGCACACGTCAGGCATTCACTAAACGTTTCTTAAACGTGTGAATGAAGGGGACGGCTCAGCAGCTGTCAGACCACTGTGTCCTGACGCCTCCCCTGCCCCAAGCTGACAATGAAACCCAACCCGGCACCTAACTTGAGGCTTGTCCAAAGTGGTCCAGTTTGCAGTGAGCCCTGTTCTCAGCCTGGTGTGGCAGGCACTGGCTGAAAGCTTTATGCATTATCTCATTTAATCCTCACAACGGCTCCAGCATCGTTTCTAATTCTGTGTCACCAGCATCATTTCTAATTCTCAAACACTCAGCAAATGTGAACTGGCAGAACCTATTTTATTTTTTATTTAAAAAAAATTTTTTTTAACATTTATTTATTTTTGAGACAGAGAGAGACAGAGCATGAACGGGGGAGGGTCAGAGAAAGAGGGAGACACAGAATCTAAAACAGGCTCCAGGCTCTGAGCTGTCAGCACAGAGCCTGTCGCGGGGCTCGAACTCACGGACCGCGAGATCATGACCTGAGCCGAAGTCGGCCACTTAACGGACTGAGCCACCCAGGTGCCCCTGAGCCACCCAGGCACCCCGGCAGAACCCCTTTTAAAGAGATAGGGGGTAGTGCATATAGTTCTGACTCATAAAATCCACACTGAGGGTTTTTCCTACAGAAATAATTGTCCCAATGTTCAGATATGGGTATAGTGTGTCTACTATATCAAAACCCCAAATTAACAATGACCTTGGTATCAATGGGACACTGATTAGCTAAATCAACACATACTGTAAGACAGAAAACTAACCAGTCTTTAAAAAGAACTAGGTAGGGGTGCCTGGGTGGCTCAATCAGTTGAGCGTCCAACTTCCCCTCAGGTCATGATTTCACAGCTCTTGAGTTCAAGCCCTGCGTCGGGCTCCGTGTTGACAGCTCAGAGTCTGGAGCCTGCTTCGGATTCTGTCTCCTCTCTCTGCCTCTCCCCCGCTCCCACTGTGTCTCTCAAAAATGAGTAAACATTAACAAAAAAAAATTTAAAAGAACTAGGTAGTTCTTCCATGTTGCCAACAAATTAAGCAAGGTACATGGCATGCCTTATTTGATCTGTACGAAGAAAAGGATGCACACATATACACAAATAAGTTTCCAAAAGGATACAAGAAACTTAAAGGTCAGGATGTGGCAAGGGGTAGAGGATTTTACATCTGCATTTTACATTTTCCTTAATCCAGGAAAGTGAGTCTTTGATTCCAAAGCCACACTCAAAGCTTGCTTCTTCTGGACTGTCACTGCCGAGTCCTACTGGCAGGAGGGAGGACCTGTCCATTTTCAGCACACCTTGGACCCCTACTAGCCTCTACCACAAGTGTCTGGGGGCAGTGGGTATTGACCACTCCCTGGCTCCCTGGTGGCACCCACCCTAGTCCCAGACTGTCTTCCCCGTGTCACTGTTACTTAGACAGTGCCACCCTCACCCCAACCCTGGCCAAACTCCACATAACGTGTGCTCCCAGTTATTTTTGCTCTTCTCATAACCTGACTTTGCTCCTGTGACCCATAGCCCTCCCTATCAGTGATGTCTTCAGTGCAATTCTGACTCCTCTCAGGCCTTGCTGGCTCTCTCAGGGCAAACCCAGTGAGCAGCATATTCAAATCACTGCTCTCCACTCCCTCCAAGGAGCTCGGAGACCAGAGAGCACCCCCGAAACTGGTACAGTTCCTAAGGCTGAGCCCCGTGCATCAGAAACAGGCCACTGCCAAGGTTCCTCCCTCTCCACCATCACCAGCTGGTGGCATTTCAGAAATCACCAAACCCCAGCCTCTTCTGTTCCTCCATGTTGAGTTTGGGTTTAGGTTTGGGCAGGTGTCAGGAGCCCACCTGAGCCCAGGCCTAGAGAAAGAGGGCACCAAGGGAGAAGGGACAGCCACTCCCTATGTACACCCCAGAAGATTCCATGATCTTCCAAGGGGCGTCTTCAGGTCCCTTGACAACCCCCACGGCTCCGCTCTTTGCTCACTCCTGGAGGTGAACATCATGCTCTTTCTCTTCTGGCTTCCTCAGCAGAGCCCCTCCACCCACCACACCCCTGTCTGTCACACCTCAGCAGTATACCTGTCAGAAACTTCAGTGCCTACCCATCTGACCCTGAAAATAGTGCCCACCTCACCCCTTGGCCCTCTTTTGACACTGGCAACAAGGTCACTGGGCTCGTTCATCTTCCCTTTCCTGGAAACATCCCCTCCACTCTTCTGCTCTGCTTTTGGGGCCTTATAACACCCCAGATTGTTGGGACATGGGATGGACGCCACCTCAGCCAAGGTACCAGTCCACTGCTCCTAGATTCCACCCTCATCATTCCTGTCTTTGTCATCAGACTGAAGTCTGTAGAGCCCTGCGTATTCCCACGTGAAGAACACACTGTGGTCCCATTTTACAGAGGAGGGAACTGCTCAAGAGAAGTCTACGTGGTCTGTCCAAAATCAGCTAGAAGGTAGCATTCACATGTCTATTTCCTGACTCTCCTCTCACGCAGCACACACCCACTGTTCTGCACGTACCTGCCCAGCATGTCACTCCTTTGCTCAAGGAGCAAGGTTCCTCCTTCCTATAGCACTTTCTCCTTGGCTATCTGGACTGTTCACAGTCAGACTGCATGGGCCCCAGGGGTGTGTATCTGCCCTTGTTCAGCAGCCCTGCTACCTAGCCTGTTGAGGGCCTCAGGTGCCTTGCCTTGCTTCAGCAGACTCAACTGGCCTCACGTATCACAGCCCCTTTCAGGAGACCTTTGAATACTGTGTGAGAGGTGGGGCCAGTGCTTCCTCTCTGACTGTGGGGAAGCCACCTCTAGGCACATGCACAGTGTAAAGGGGAGTACTTGAATGACTGATAATCCAAAGAAAATTCTACGTGGTGTTAATTCTACGTGGTGAATTTCCTCTGGGCTTCAAGCACCAAGGCCTGTATTTGGGTGGGTGCAGAACTGTGGTCCCTGGAAAGCTGGGACAGGACAGCTCTGCGGTGAGGAGGCAGGAGCCCACTTAAGGTTGTACACACAGAGCAGAGAGAGGTGCCCTGAACCTCCTGCAACACTCACTGCCGCGGTGGGCAAGCAGTACCACCTGTCCCGTGGACAGACTGCCCAGCACAGACCAGGCCATGCAGGAGCTCGATTTACTCTATGCCCCACCCTCCAACACCCAAAACACAGCCTGCAGAGGGCACTAGCTGTGTTCTCAGAAAAGTTCTGTCCCTGTCTCCCCAGCCTCCTCTCTCACAGCTGGCCTCAGCTGTTCCAACATCTCTTCCCTGGAACCTGAACCTGAGGTTCAGCAAAAGAGTGAGAGAGATTGAGAGTGAGAGTGAGTATGTGTATAAGGCAGCAGGGTTCTCAGATTCCAGACATGGGAAGTTCAGAGAGTAGCAGAGAAGGAACCCTTCCCACCTGACACTGTCTCTCCAATTCTGGTCACAATTCCCAAAGACACCCTGTTCCAATTTAGTATTAGGCACCACAATTAGGATTTTAGAACAAAGATTTTCATATGACGTTATCCAATTGGATTTAAACTAGGCTCATCTACACATTGGCCACATAACCTTGGGCAGGTGACCGCTTCTCTTAGCCTCAGTTTCCTCTGCTGTAAAATAGGACTACATTGATAATCTACACCCCACCGATTGTTGAGCAAATCAGGAGACCAGGCACATTATAAAATACTTAGCACAGTGCCTACCACATTGTAAAGCTTTCGATCAATGTTCCCTGATATTATCACTATTATTCAAGTGACCATGGCCCTGCAGGCAGACCCCTCTCCTGACTTAGTGGGCCTCTTTCAGACAGGTCCACATAGGCAGAGAGAAGGGGGCTCTCACCTGACTCTGGGGAGAAGCATCAGAAAGAAACCAGAGGCCAGGGAGCAGAGTCACAGGCTGTTCTGGGAGCAAAGGACCCTAAGGCCAGCTGGCTCTTCACTGTCTGGAGGACAGGACAGGTCCAGCCCCAGGCAGGCACGTGCCCAAAGCCACTCTGAGGGAAGGGGGTGAATGAACAGAGCCAGGCCCCACTTCTAGCAGACCCATGGTGGGAGAACATAAAATGTTGGAGGGGGAAATGCCAGGAGCACAAGGCCCTGCCCTGACCCCAACTCATGTACATACATACACCACCCCCCCCGCCACACACACACACACACACACACACACACACACACACACACACACACACACTTTTCTTTTTGCCTCAAACACATGGCATCAGAGCTCAGGATCAGGGGGACATGGTCACATCTTTGGCAAGTATGACCTTGGGAAACTCCGGCAGGGCCCAGAACAGAGCAGCTTCCAAGAGCAGGGGACAGGGAGCTGGGATCCCAGGTCTGGGACAGAAGGACCTGGCCAGCATGGGAACAAACAGGACAACAGCACAGGGCCTGTAATCCAAGGGCCAGAGACACTTGTACCCTGTCAGGGTCATGCCTAGTGACAACCCATCCCCCCGACGGGAGTCCTGGGCACACTGGGCTCTGCGGCCACCCATTCCAGCAGTGAAACCCCACTGTGGGTTTCACAGGCACCTCCAGCCCTCAGGCTGTACAGACAGTGATATCTGTGAATGCAGACAACAGCCCACCTCCAGGATCTGTCTGTGTGCTCCTTGAACCAGCTCTTCCTTCTCTGTCCCTGCCCGAGGAATGGCTCACCAGAGGAGCATCCCCTTTCCTCGTCAGCTCCAGGAATAGCTGCCTGATTCATTACCAGGCCCCTCCCAGGGTTTAGGACGGAGACCTAACTTGAGGTTGGGTTACTGTGTGAACGGCTCTTCTTCCACGCCCCACCCACATCTTTC